ATTGGATGCCACATTTGTTATTTACAAGGGGATTGCGATGATAAGTTATAGTTCACGTTGAGCCAGTGCTTCCTTGACGATCAATTAGCACCATCTGAAACAAGTTCAGAGAAGTTACACGAAGCACTCTGGGGACCTGCTCTGGGTTGTCCAGCTGCTAAATGAGCAAAGAAACCGCCGTGCACGCTAATTCAGAAGTGCTTTTCCTGCACGGTCTCAGCCGTGCCGCACGCTGCCGTCGCTACTGCTGGTGAGGAGAAGGAGCTTGTTTTAGAGGCGCTGAGGCCAAGCTGCTTCTCAAGCATCAAAACGCGTGTCGGACTGTGCTGCAAAGGTGACTGTTCTGCGCTCTGCTCTGCAGCCACAGGAATAAGAGGAGGTTATTGGCTTTCCTTCCCACTCCTTAGAATTTAAAGCTGTGGCAGGCACTTGAAAACTGCTTGGTATCACTGATGACTTCTGTTCCGATGATTTGTGGCCTGTTTGTGATTTGTGTGTGAGGTGAATTTAGTAAGCACGGAGATCTTTTTTTCCTAGGAGCTTGTTTTCTGTAGGGCTAGGTGGGAAGCTGCATAGGTGTGTTGCTTTCTTCACGGCACGGCTGAGGGACACTTTAGATTAAAAGCAATAAGAATGGATGTGTTCTCAGTAGGAGGGAACAAAAGATTTTTGATTCACTGCAACTAGAAACTGTTCAATGCATGAAAGCTGGGCTCATGCGTCTAATAAAATCTGGGATAACAAACTACTTGTTTTTTTATCTAAAAGGAGCAAAGGAAACAGACCTGTAGTTTTCATCCACTCCAGCTATCTCTGATGATCAGTTAAGCCACATGAATGGTAAAGCTCGGGAGCTGCAAGTTAGTGTTTATTTTTTATATATATAGCTACAAGATATTATCGCATGCCTTTGTACAAGAGACAGTGGAAGGCCAAAGCATAAGAGCAGGTGGGTGAGAAGCCTATGACACTCTTCACTGAGCAAGTTGAAGTCAATTATTTGACTCTGTCAGTGTCTCCTAGCACATCCATACATAGATGGAGCATATATTTGAAATCACCATTTAAACAACTCTTCAGTATGTCAATGCAGCAAAAGTCTTTGGGGATTGTTCTAAAAACACCCTCAAGCTGGAGTGTCTGCAGCACTGGAGACACTTACTGAAGGCACATTTGTGGGCAAACAGTCAGTACAAACTTTCCCAATAGGTGATGTTTGATGATTGTAGTGGAGACTTCAAATGCAGCATGTCTTGAATTAGAGTTCAGATGGGAAATCGAGTCATTGTGGCGTAAAACTTTTTTACACTTCAGCTGAGCCGTAACGACTGTTTGTGGACGTGTCTTCAGCCCATAGAAAATGACAATGCAGGGGGAACAACATCCTGATCTAAATGGTGGATGAAGAAGGTGTGTAGCTGTTGAATGTGATGTGTTTTTGTGTGTGCAGCCAGGCAGGCAAATGAAGAGGCTAAAGCCTCCTTAAATCCATGCCTGACTTAACTCAGACTGCAGGCTAAACTACTTCACATTTCTTTACAGCTGGTCTAGACTGAAAGCAGGCGTGAGGACAGCTGCCATCACTCAGTTAATGTTCAGTAACCTGTTCCTCCAAATAGACAGTGTGTGAATTTAGAGAAATGATCCTACCACCTAAACCCACATACAGCATACATCCTGCATAGTCATTTCCTTTGCAAGCTAGAATTAGAAATAGAGACAGAAATATATTTTTGAGTCTTCTAGTCCAAAGATGCAGACCCACATACACAAATTCAGCGGCTCCATTCTGGCAGCACCTGGATTCTAGCAGTGGGTCTGTCCTTATTGAACCGTTCCCTTTACTTGACAGCCTTAGAGCTGGTCACAGGGGAAACAAAAAAAGAGACAACAGTATTGTGTTCAGCAAAAAGAGTCCTGCAGCAGATTATTGGCAAATGGCTTGACAGGAGATTTACAGCTAAATATGAAGCACTGCAAAAAAGGTGAAGATCTAAATTTAAGTCATGTTTCTCATTCCCTCTAATAATATTTTTCAGACTAGCAGACTCATAACCAATTTTTTGGTGCTGAACTGACTTCAGAACATTAGCTATGCTCATTTCAAATGTTTTTCTATTTGCTCTGCTTCTCTTGGTGATGAAAGAAAAGGTATTTTTTCATCATCATCCTAAATCCCTTTAGCTTTATATTTGGAAAAGATTGTAAAATTCATTTAAAAATGCCCTTCGGAGGGTTATTTCTTATTCTGAGTCTAAGGTTATGTTTTTACACATGGTGAGTTTGTACAATTTGTTTCACTTTTAACACTTTTCATGCTTAAAAAAGCTCTTTTTTCCCCAAATGAGTTGCAACTGTCTCCATTCCAAAATGACACATTTGCTATTAGTCAGCTCTTTTTCCTAAACAACTTACGTTTTCATAAAACAGGAGAACAACTTCTGTTAGGACTTCTTGTTTTATAACAAGCTTATCTATCTACTTTACTTTGCACAAAACAGAGGATAATGTCATAGTAGGGAACAGAACAGGTCGGAGCAGACTGAAATCCCAAGTATTTCTGCTGGGGTATTCACTATATATTTGGTAATATTCTTATCGACTTTCCAGTTATACAGCTATAGTGATTGGAGTGGAAAGTAAAACTTATAGGAATTTGCCATTATATCTTCATAAATATATGTAAGTGTGACTGAAAAACAAACTAAATTACAATATGCATCATAAGCTACCAGTTTCATTTTATTACTGGCCAATACTGACCAATAGTACTGAGTAAAAACTGTAGAGGAAAGATGCACAGTTCAATTTATAATTGCCTTTCCATGGGAAGAACCCATTTCCTGAGATTTCTTTGAAGTAATCCTTTGTAGAGCAATCCTTTATCCCATCCATAGCAGTTTTTCATTCACTGATGTCCCTAGGCTTTTCAAAAGAATGAAAGTGTTATCATCCCATCGTAGCAGGGAGGAAAACTAAGGTGAAGTGTCCTGTTCTAAAGCTTGAGGAAAATGGCAAGGGAGGGTGAAAAGCACAAGGATTTTACATCAGTGGCAATCTTGCTTCTGCTTTTTAAAATCTACAATACCGCCAGCTTCTTGGCTAAAGGGTCCCAGCATTTGGGAAGGTGGAAGACATGAGGCTTATTGGCTCCACTGCCCTGGCATTGGGACAGGCTTTTTTTTTCTTCCTTGGCCTTTCCTTGCTACCACCATGTCGGGGTTGGGGGGATGTCATTCATAAGCACTAGGGTGCAAGGAAGAGGACACTACTCTCCACGTGTGGTGAGCCACCTCCTCCCAACACTCAAAACACTAGTAATGGCATGCAGAGAAGCTGGAGCTGGTTCCCTCCCCATTCCTCAGATCTCTGAGCCGTCTTTGGAGCTGTGTCTGCAATGCACTGCACTTCGACTAATTCCATAACATAAATCTTGGAAAGGCTTTTTAACTTGGAAGCAGTGGGGTGCAAATGTGGCTGTGCCAATTCCAGATTTTCACTGATAATGAAGTCTTCCTGTGGCACTTGCTTTTTAGAAACTTTCCTGCTTAGGTCTTTGCTAGATGAAAAATTTCTTCTACGTCATGCTTCATTATATAGTGTAGATATATGCTAAATATGCCATACCCACTGGGTGAAATGACAGCACTGAACAGTCAGAGGCTAATATACCTGCACGTTAACTTCCCCATTTAGTGGTCTGCGGTAGGGTCTGACACCCAACCAATGCAAAACCCGCCAGCCCTGTTAAACTGTGGTCACCCCTATTGCTAATATCACTTCAGCTGATCAGGTATTAGCCATGGTGAGATATTATATTTACAACTATATATTCATTACAAAATGTCAGCTTCCTACAAATTCAGAGTGCCAACTTCATACAGACATCCCTCATATCTGTACAGGAGAACCTGTTCCTTTGAGAAAAAGTGACAATGATGTCATCTATTCTACATTACATGTTAAAAGTTGAGGGGGTTAAGGTTGTAGTAGCTTCTCCTGCGCATAGTTCTATTCAGGATTTATAAATTTAAGAGGGCCTTGTGCTGGCTAAAGGGACACAAACCCTCAAATTAGCAGTAGATTTAAATTACTTTTGCAGTAAACAGTACAAAACATAGGCTATTCACATGCCTTGTTACTCCAGACTTGGTGTTGGTTCAGCTGTGCCCATTGCTGACTGACTTCTGTTGACTTCACTAAATGATTTTCACAGTGCAGACATGATTAAATGTGTGTTAAAAAGCAAGCAGGGACAGTGACACTGAGCAAGAGAAGTGATTTCTGTTCAAAACAGAAGAATATGAAAGCCGGGAAGAGAGGGAGAGTATTATAGAGTCTAAAACAGTGTGACTGATTAATTCTTATTAGGAATGACTAAAAAAGTACAAATCTAACTCTTAAAATATTTTTTATGTTTCTCTAGAAGAACTTAGAATTTTAACAACATGATAGGCTTTTCATGAAAGGTGCAGGCTTAGGCTGAAAACCCAAACATTTCTTAGCCAAACATTTCTTAAGGAAAAATCTTTCCATCAAAAAATCTGTAGCTGCTAACAGAACCTGCAGAAGATACACATGGAAGACAGGTACTGGGGATTATGGGGGAGAACATGTTTACTAATGAGAAAGTTCTCCATTCTAGAATCTTATTTAATTTTGAAAAGCTCCAGTTAAAAAAAACCAAACAAACAAAACCACACCGTGTTTTCCTTTCTCATCTACATTTCAGTAAATGTAAAATAATAAATGTAAACCAAATTAAAGTACATTTCATTTCCTTTCTAAAATCACTAAGTGTAGTAAAATATGTTTTTCTTGTTTATCCTCAGAGGGCCCTACAATTAATTGATGCTACAGTGTATGAAGAATGTAGGACTAGGCACTAGTTACAGAACATCACAGTGCTGTTGTGAGCTTATTTTGTTAACCTAGACTGTTGTTTCTCTGTGGTTACTTGTAGCAACTACATAGACAGACATGGCATGGTTATTCCTTACCAGCTCATTGCTGCCATCCTCATCAAAATCCTCCTCTATCCCATCAGTCATCTCTTCTCCATCCCCATCTGCATCTGGCCCTCCTTCAATTGGCTCTTCTGTAGAGTTATCTGCATTCTCTGATATGCATTCCTCTTGAATCAAATCAGCATTATCTTCCATTTGTTTCTTTTGAGCTTCTGTAAGGAAAACATACTCTATAGAGATTCAGTAACCTTCCCTATTGGTGGCAGAGAAAAGTGCTCTGAGGAAGAAACCTAAGCTTCCCATCTCCGGATGTGCTAGCTTTGTAAAAATCAGTGTGTTAATATCCACCAGGCAAATATGATCAAATCCTTTGTTTTCAAAAATTAATGCATAAATCAACCAGAGTACCAACATGTTCATCTATCCCATGCAGTGGATGCAGGCTTGATTTACCAGCAGATCCAGCTTTTTTATTTTCTGGACTTTGCTTTGCCTTGTGAATCCAATTGGCATAGTCATTATATATTTATTTATCTGCAGCCAATGAGAACTACATAAATCTCTATGCTCTGAGAAGTGGAAGGCTGTTAATTGCCAATATGTGAACAAGGATTTGCATAAATTTATTGTGAAGATCTCTCAACAACCATACAGATAATCAACAAATCCTTCTGGACAACTTTTTATTGAGTAAAGTAACAGTTTCTCCCTGTTGGTATAATGTGCTGTGGTAACTGGAGAATGCCTCCCTCCAGTTACCCAAATATAGGCTTCCTATAATTTCTGCGAAGCGGTGAAAAGAAAGACCATTTTCATGGAGGCCCAGGGGATCTGTTCTGGTTGGCTTAGTGTGGCTAGCTGCATCGTTGTGATCATGTATTGTGAGACTCCTGGATATGCTGAGGAATTTCATCCAGCCAGCAGAAATCCAGAGGAGGATTGAGAGAGGAATGACAGAGACAGATTGGCCCAAAGAGTGGTTGGAGGCATCAGAGTCTTATTCTTATGCACACCAGGAGTTTAGATGAAAAGCTTTACGTACTCAAAGTGAATACGGGCCAGAGAATTGGTTGCCTGTAGCTGGAATACCAATGTCTTTTCAGTCTGAGGGTGACAATACCCATCAATGATCTAGAGCAAAACCATTCCTTTCTTTGTTAGATTGACTGTTCTGTAACACTAGTAGTGCATCACCTATCTTGTCGGACAGGCAATAAATTTGCAGATTGCCTGCGAAGCTCTACATTTTTCGTCTCTATGAATATATTATTATTTTACTATAAATTATTACCAGTTCTATATAATATTAACATCTGCTCACACTTTTCTGTATCATAGGTTTAAACCAAGACATTTGGTTTTCCTTGTACCTCTGCACATTTATTTTGCAACTTAATTTCATCTCTTCAGTCTTTGTTAGTCTCTAATCCCTCATGTTCAAATTCATTTACTGAAGACACATAACATATAAGCTTTTCTTCCTTATTCACGTTATTTCTTCAGAAAGATTCTTGGACTTAAAGAATAAAAATTCATCTTAGATAACTGCTTTGACAGTGCTGTAGTCACACTTATTAGTAGAAGATTCAGCCCATAGAGCCTCATCATCTGTTGGTAAGGTGCTCTATACAATACTATGCTAGTTATAAGTCATTGTGTTGCTTGCCTTACTGTGCAAGGAAGTGTGTATTGAATCAGCTATGCCTACTATGTCCTGCCCCATCACCTTCTGCTTCAAGCCACTTCTGAGATTAACCCAGCTGTGGCAGTAATAACTGAATCAACTTTGTTCAAGACTTTCAAAATGGGTGTCTGAAATTATGGACTTAATATGTTTAAATGGGAAAACTTTTAGGATACAGCTGCAAAAAAATTAGCTCACTTATTTAATTGTCTGAATAAGAACATAGACTGGGTTCTTCAGAGGAGTCTAAAATACCAGCTCAGCATCTATCTCTTTTGGGCTCTTCTGAGAAGAAAAACTTAAGATCTTACCTTTTAACATCCATCTCTAACAATTTTTTCACATCAAAACAGCTTATCCTCGGCTTCCTGATTCAGATTTTTACAAACAAAGGAGCTATTCCTGCAGTTTCCCTATGTACAGGAAATCCTTTTATCTATATTCCCCCTATTGGAATGGTCAGGGGTTCATAACAGTAAAAGACACAACATCAGCCATTGTAAGGAGAGTTTTCATGCAGCTGTAGAGCAGTTACCAATGTGTACACTGAGCTTGTCCAGCTTGTCTAACCTGTCACGTTCCTCCAGATATATAACTTTTAAGATTAGTAATTAAATATTCTTCATGAAAGTGATGCAGACTTAAAAAACCAAAAGGGCAAGATGATGGCCTGGTTTTTGTTTTGGTCTAAACAAGACATAGATCCTCTCTCTGATCCCTGTCTTAGTGAGGCTACACATTCTGGCAGAGGAAAGTAAGAAATAATGTTGCCAAACCATACAGAAGGAACAAAATCATCTCACATCTGACACCATAAATACATAGTTCAGCTACTGATGTAGCCTCATCTTATACAAATCTTTCATCTGAGGAAGCAATCATCTGCAGACTAGTAACCCAGGCTGCACAGGCTGCATAACCTTCTTCATCATCTTGGGAGACTTCAATGGGGATCCAGGTTTGCTGGTTTCTCTGAGGTATCTTTTCTCCTCACACCCTCCAATGAGCGGCAAGGACTATGGGGGACAGGTTTTGCACCTGATGTCTTAAAACATCAACAATTTGAAAACAGTTTTTGATCTCTGAGGAGATTATTCATTGCTTGTCTTCAAAAGGCATAACAGTATGATTCAATACAAATCAATTTCTATTTACATGAGTTCACCATGGTCCTTTAGCAAAAGTGAATATTGGATATCAAAGCACAATGATATGCAGGTTGTTTTGCATAGTAATGGATTTTACATAAAAGCTCCCTGAAGTAGGGATGCGCCATCTCAGAGCATTTCAGTACACGAATGATTCAATGGAGTGCCTTGCAATTACATCTTCACTGATTATACCAACTTTTATCTAACTTGCATAAAGTACAAAATAGAATATAATGAATACATATTGTGTACGATTCTCCTAAAAGACATAATCACATTCTGTACTAATGGTTTATCTTAGACTTGTAAAAAAGCACTGAGGTTATTTTTTGGAGTAAACTATAACAGCTGAGGGATTGGTCCTTGTCTGTCAATTTAGTAAATGATTGTAAATAAAAACTATTTTTTTTAAAAGAGCTGGTTTGGGTGGGTTGTTTTTGTTTTTTTTTTAAGTTGTTAACCACAAAATATTTTTCTGTAGTGTACTGCCCTAGGAAGATATTAATTAGAGATATTTCTGAATGCCAGCAGGAAACTTCTGGGTTCAGAGAAATACACCCACAACAGATCAGCAAATAGGGCAGGCACAGGAACAAGGGGGATCCAGATCTAAATATCTGTTTTGCCTATGTCAGGTTCATGAACTTCAGCTGCTAATTCCTAGCAGTGTTTTAGATAGATAGTCTTGATGGAGATCTATGTGTCCTGTTGGATGTTTTTGGCTTCATGTAGCTGATTTGAGTTAGGCAAGGGACACAAATCTGAGTGCCCAGACACCCAGGCATCTATGGATTTTGATCCAGAATTTCTTTCACATATTTCACACAAAATACATTAAAAATTTTCGTCAGAGAATGGAGGGGGGGAAAAAAAGGAACATTGAGGTTTTTCATGAGATAAGGCTTCCATTTCACCACTGGCTTTCATCAAAATCAGCTTGCTAGTACACAGCTCCAGTACAGAGATATACCATGAGATTTATAAGGAAATAACCAAGAAAATACCATAGACAGTGGTAAGAACTGAGATTGTTTTCTGTATATACTGCGGTGAAAATACAACCTTATAAATCCCTTATAACTGCTCAGTATGGCTTTAAAGTGCTGCCAGGTGAGATCATTCAGCTAACAAAATGATCACTGCAATGACAGAAATAAAGATCCTGATTAAATTAAAAAACTGTGTTAGAATTTGTCATTCCCAAGGTTTGCCTCAAAACAGAACATGTCAAGCCAGAGAAAAGCTGAACTAGAAGTGCAGCCAGTTTTACGCCACAGCTTCACACAATAGCTTGCATTGGAAGGGATCTCTTGACTCTTCAAGTCCAACCCCTCTTCAAAGCAGGGCCAAACTCAAACTTTGGTCCAGGTCCATGCGGCATTGGCCCAATGAGTTTTGAACGTCTGAAAAGATGGAGCTACTACAGTCTCTCTGGGCAAACTGCTATACTGCTTAGTTGTATCTTTTTTCCTTACATCAAACAGGAATTTCCCTTGCTGCAACTTGTGACTATTGCCTATTGCCCATTGCCCAGGCAATAATTCAAGATATAGACCATCTGATAATTCTTAATGTGGATAGCACAAGTATGCCCAAGGTCAACAACCTATAACTTAATTCTGTTCAGTCAATTTTTTAATGATATTCTGTTTCCAGAACATCTAGTAAGAATCTGTTATTGTCTTTTTTTTTCCTACTACACCAGAGAAAACAATACTTGAAATGATGTTACATATTCTGTGAAGAATATTAATTTATGCTTCCAATAGTTCTACCTAGAGAGTTAATTTACCTTGCTTCAGGCCTCTATTATGTAGCAAAATTTCTGGAAGGCTTCCATTCTCTCTGGTCTGTCTGCATGACTGATAACTAGGTTCTAATTTAATTCATGTGACACAAATTGCTTTCACTTACCTGCTTCAGCTTTTTGCTGCTTTTCAATCTTTTCCAGTCTCCCTAGCAAGGAGTCAATTTTTGTTTTGATTTGGGTTAATTCCTTCTTGATTGTTTGCAACTCATCTGATTTCACTGTGGAAAGAGAGCAAGGATGCAAAATATGAAATAAACTATATTTGCAGCCCCACATGAACAAAATGTTCTTTTTTCTTTCCTCTGTAGTACAAGTATATTATCTCATTTCTGTCAGTATTTTTAGAGAATTAACTTTGAAAATGAACATTGTTAGTTAAAAATGCTGAGTCCTAGGAAATCACAGGATACTAAACCCTGGTAGCAAGGGGTCACATGAGATGTATTGCTCTGTAATAAGCATTTCAGGCAAAACATCTCAAGGGCATTCTTAGTAAATCTGAGTAACTTCTACTGAAAAACAGGCTGTAGTGAAAGAATGACTCAAATATGGCCCTTCACAGTCTTGCAATGCTATTTTGCTGGACTAATTTGTAACAATAACAACAATAATAAAAAGATCCCTCACAATAGCAATAGGTATTTTTCAACAAGAGTGAATGGTAACATAAATGCTGGGGTAGCCAGGAATGCAATATTATATTCCGGTATTACTGCTTCAAAAGCTTTCAGTTCTGGTCATTTCTTGTACTTTTTCCAGCTATAGATAACATATGAAAATATTTCTTTTTATGATCATACCCACGGTCACGGAGGCAGTACTCATAAATTAAGAGCTGAAGTGTCCAAATCTTTGTCGCATTGCATTACTCTTCATTTACGTGTGTTATTGCACTCCTGTTGTCTAACATAAGAAGGAGAAATAACTTTGGAGGTGTTTTGGCTTCAGGAGAAACAGCACTGCAGCACTCATGAATGATCTTATTATTATGGCATTATCAGGACATGTTTTTATACTCAGAAGATAGTCGAAACAGATCCACTTGCCTCATCAGTGCTAGGGTATAATGTTGAAAAGGTGAAGAGGAAAAAATGGGAACCCTGTGCTAGCATGGGAGAATAAAGACATTTATATAGATCAAGAGTAGATAACACAGCTGTCACTCTTAGAATTCTTGTAGGAAGAAATGGACTATCACCTTAAACTGTGAGGGACTGGCAATGGAAAAGCACTGAGCAGTATTAGTCTTCCATCCTTATCAGCTGAAGCAGGATGTGCAGACTTTGGGATGATTGACTGTGGAGCAATGGGAGGGCCCTTAGTGAGCCTTGGAAAAGGGTTGTTCTGCCACAGAGAAGGATAAGTTCCCATTTTGTCCAAAGGGTCTCGTGGCATGATGTCTTATGGGTATTTTTTATTTAGTCAAAATCAGATGATGAAGTGTGCAGGCAAGTTACTGCCTGCTTCAGTGGTAGTAAATGAGTATGTGTTTGCTTATAAATCAGCCTTATTGCAAACTTGGAGCACATTCACTGAGGTTGGAACCAAGACTTTTTATCTTTGGGTCATGTGCATTATAGTTATAACAGGTCGGCTAAAGGCAGTAGGTTTCTGTATGTGGTAATGAACTTGTTTAATCACATGCTTATATTGACAAATTGCATATCTCACACTATCATAGGCTGAAACCTCTGATCTCATATTGAATGAATGATAGGCCTTAGATAAAAAAGCTTAAAAGTAACCTTTGGGCTAGACCCTTATATACTATACAGTATTTGATAGAATTAGTCAGTATATTTATAGACCAAGGCCTTAAAATGTTCATAGAGAAATAAAGGGTCATTGTCTAGTCCTCCAGATCTGTAACAAAATCTTAACACTCTGACAACTGTATATTTAGAAGGTTGCCGCTTCCCTGGGGACAGTGATTGGTCTGGGCTGGAGTAGCAAGGTGGTGCAGATTCCAGGGCAAAATGGTGTGAATCTGTCCGACGGGAAATGTTAAGTGTCTGCAGCAACCTGCTATGAAGCCAGCTGTCAACAGACCCTGTGCAGCCATGCTGTTGGATTAGAGGTGCTCCCTTGACTGGTAAACAGCAGGCTTGCCAAGGCTAAAAAGTCAAAATTCAGAAGCGACACCACAAGGACCTAATGATATTTCTTCTTGGTCTAGAAAGCAAAGCAGAAAACATTTGCACTTCTGAGTTTGGTGAGGAAGCAGGCACATAGGTAGGGTTACTGTTCAACTCTCTTCAAACTGTTCAAACTGCTTCACAGGGGCTTCCCTGTGGTGCCTCACTGAGAAATCTGTTTGGGAAGAAGACTGCATCGGAGGGACCACAGACACAACAGTGGGTATTCAAAAGTAAGCAAAAAGATGCTGTAAATGACTGAGGAGCTTTATTGCTCTCTTGCAAGGTTCCACTATGCGAAAACTATTTGCTTAAACTTTGGTCACTGAATCTGCAATTTATCATTCACATTTAATATGGTCATTGAATAAGAGATTCAGTCTTACAGTCAATCACTTCAAGTTAACACTAAAAAGGACTGGAAGAAAAAAGGGGAAAGATTTTCAACAAATCTGCAAAAGAAGTTCCACATTTCCACCATTATTCAAACATTGCGATGTTGTAGTTATCTGAGTTGCTTATCGTCTTAATTTGCAGGGAATTGTACAAATCTTCAAAATCAATCTCCTAGAGTAATTCCACTCTCAGTTATATTGTCCTGGGTATTTCTGTAGTAAGCAGTGATTACTAAAGACAAATTATGAAGGGTCCTGATGGACAACAAGCTGAACACGAGCCAGCAATAGACCCTTGTGAAAAAGAAAGCCAACAATACCCTGGGCTGCATTAGGAGAAGTGTTGTGAGGGAGATGATCCTTCCCCTCTATTCAGCACTGGTGAGGCCATATCTGCAGTACTGTGTCCAGTTCTGGGAGAATGAAGAAGACAAAGCTGGACTCTTCTCAGTAGTGCCCACTAAGAAGTCAAAGACCACTGGCACAAATTAAAACACATGAAATTTTTTTTCTGTGAGGATGGTCAAACACTTGCACAGGCAACCTAGAAAGGTTGTGGAGGCCTTGGAGATATTCAAAAGCTGTCTGGACATAGTCCTGGGAAACCTGCTATAGGTGACCCTGCTTGAGCAGGGCAGTTGGACCAGATGAGCTCCAGAGGTCCTTTCTAACCTCAGCCATTCTGTGATTATGTGATTCTGTGGTATAGAGCTTAGGAAGAAATTTAGGCTTTTTAAGCACAGTGTTACGGTAGAGACAAAATGTAAAGACTGTAAATACTGTACTTCGGGTGTCCTGCGTTGAGACTATAAATTCTCCTTTAAAACTCCATAAATTTTTCTTTTTAAATGGATCTCAGACAAGAAATAAAGCAGTTGATAAACATGAAACCAGAGCTGCATGTGTCCAAAATACCTGTTCATCTGCTTTTGAGTAATAGAACAGGAAAACAAAGTAGCTTACTGTTACTGTAGCTTATTGTTTGGGTTTTTTTTCCTATTAGCAGATAAGCAAAGGCCACCAGGTGATAGAAATGCATGTATTGAAAGGGAAAGAAATCACTAATGAAATTCCTCAAACACTGGCACAAAAACGGCTAAATACGTTCAACAACCTTGATGCAAAAAATTAAATAAACAAATGAAATTTGTTGCTGACATGAAATTGAAAGGTATCATCTATTCAGAGTGAACTGGAATGGAAGTTGTCAGGTCATTTTAAGGAGTGCTACAGTAAAAAAAAGATTAAACGCAATTGCACTAAAAAAAGTCCTACATGTGATTGACTAAGAGCAGAAATCCTGCTCTTAACATGGAAGCTCATCAGTGGAAAAAGACAGTGATACAATTATCCTTGTTTGTAGCTGTAATCTCAGGTTGACAATAGGCCATCACTATAAGGCTGCCATGAGAAAGAAAAGGCGGCACTAGGATGTTTCAAATGATGTATTGCTAAAGATGGTGAAGTACAATGCCATTGTACAAGGACCTGGTGAGAGCTCATCTGGAATAACATATACAGGTTGAACCACTGAATTACAGCAGGTACGCAGGGAGAAAGGCCATGAAGATGACTACAAGAATGGAAAGCCTGTGGAGTGACAGAAGAGTTTTGTTTCTTTGCCCAAGAAGAAAGAACGGAAAAGGAAATAACACTTCTAGGCTGAAACAACTTTGGCACAACAAATATGAACAAATGAGAAACAAATTTAAGATGGAAAATAGAAAAAACAGACACAGGTAAAAACCAAACTCTAACTAGCTTTAAGATGGAGCTTAAAGGATTAGGTGATGCAGCTACTTGCATGTCATTTAACACCACTTTATGGCGTCAAATCTGGCTGGCGGCCGGTCACAAGCGGTGTTCCCCAGGGATCGGTTCTGGGGCCGGTCTTATTCAATATCTTTATCGATGACCTGGATGAGGGGATTGAATGTTCCCTCGGTAAGTTTGCAGGTGACACCAAGTTGGGTGGGAGTGTTGATCTGCTGGAGGGTAGGAGGGCTCTGCAGAAGGGATCTGGACAGGTTCGATCGATGGGCCGAGGTCAACTGTATGAGGTTTAATAAGGCCAAGTGCAGGGTCCTGCACTTTGGCCACAGCAACCTCAGGCAACACTACAGGCTTGGAGAGGAGTGGCTGGAGAGCTGCCTGGCGGAAAGGACCTGGGGGTGCTGGTTGATGGCTGGCTGAATATGAGCCGGCAGTGCCCAGGTGGCCAAGGCGGCCAACAGCGTCCTGGCCTGTATCAGGAATAGTGTGGCCAGCAGGAGTAGGGAAGTGATCGTGCCCCTGTACTCAGCACTGGTGAGGCCGCACCTTGAATCCTGTGTTCAGTTTTGGGCCCATCACTACAAGAAGGACGTTGAGGTGCTGGAGTGTGTCCAGAGAAGGGCAACGAAGCTGGTGAGGGGTCTGGAGCACAAGTCTTACAAGGAACGGCTGAGGGAACTGTGGTTGTTTAGCCTGGAGAAGAGGAGGCTGAGGGGAGACCTTATCACTCTCTACAACTACCTGAAAGGGGGTTGTATTGAGGTGGGTGTTGGTCTCTTTTCCCAACTAATTAGTTGTAGGATGAGAGGAAATGGCCTCAAGTTGCACCAGGGGAGGTTTAGATTGGATATTAGGAAAAATTTCTTCACTGAGAGGGTGGTCAGGCATTGGAACAGGCTGCCCCGGTCGGTGGTGGAGTCACCATCACTGGAAGTGTTCAAAAAACGTGTGGATGTGGCGCTTCAGGATATGGCTTAGTGGACATGGTGGCGTTGGGTTAATGGTTGGATTTGATCTTGAAGGTCCTTTCCAACCTAGTGATTCTGTGATTCTGTAACAGTGAGGAATTAGGTTCAGTGACCCTTTCCAGCCCACTGCCAGGAATACGAGGGCCTTCCAGAATGCATCTTTCATTGAAGCACCTAGCACCTAAGAAGACAAACTGCATCCAGCTCAAGATAAATGATTTAAAATTGAGGTTAATCACATTTTTAGAAATGAAAGTTCTACTGTTGAATTACAGCTGTATTTGTGAAACATTTTTTACCATAACCACAAGTTGATTCATCCACAAAACATGATTCATATTTCTTTGGAAAGCAATCTCATGTATTTTTATCTAAGCCCTTCGTGTTTACTATAAAATATTTTATCATATAATATCACTTTAGATTTCACTGAAAAATGGGTTAGCTGATGAAGATAAAGATAAACTATACGAGTCAAGATGAATTAATTTAAAGGCATAATTCAGTACATGTTGTAACATCTTAAGTGTCTACTCCTTAATCTCAAGCACACAGGGTATAAAAAATTTGATTAGTGTTTTCCTCCTGTTTTCAGATGTGTGAAATGAAAGTGCATACTCTGAGAGCTTCAGTTTTTATATTGTCAGAAAAAGTGAGTTTTTCTCAGTTCTAAATAGCAATCTGCATCTGCTGCTTCATACCATTAACATGAGGAACTACTGTGTGTACTTTCCACACCAACGTGTTTCATTTTGTGAGTGACTTCCGATAATGTGGAAAGGTTGGTTTATTTTTTTCTACTCTTTGGAGTTAAAAAGAAAACAAAATATTGACAATGATCCATGAAAAATCATAGTTTCAGGAAATAAATCAAATCTTTCTAATTTATTTTGTGTTTTTGAAGAAAACTTAGAACACATATTGCCACTTCTTGGTAGAACAAGAATTTACTGCACGGGAGTGCAGACGTTATTTTTGCAGATGTACTCATCAGTGAGCAAGGCATTTTTTGTGTTGTTTTTAAAACATCTTTGCCGTGTGCCACATCAAACTTCTGTCCTTAGGTTGCTGGTTTTCAGAAGTGAGTCCCTTTAATCCTGGTAATTTCACTGAGGGGTCCCCTGTGTTCTGGTGTTTAATACTGCATGTATGGGTTCATTTTCTGGATCCAGTCTGAGTGTGGAGAACAGCTATAAGAAGAGTTATGCCTATGAAGTTTCTACTTAAATCTGAAATGTCTATCAGGGGATGTGATCTCATGAGTGTTTTGCTATTTGGGGGTGAAAGCTTTCAAGCAGAGGCAATACCATTTTGACATAGTTCTGAATTTGCGATTAAACTGTTGTATAGTCTTGAATTTCATTAAAATGCAAAAAATCTTCCTTCCCACAAACTATATTTCTCTTTATTGAAGAAAACCTTTATTTAACTAGTATAAATCAAAATTAGAATCAACAGTGAATTAGTTCAAGGGGTTCAGATTAGCAGTGTAGAGTAAGGGGCAACAAAATATTAAATTGCTTCATCCCACAATTTAATATAACCAACTTTTCCAATAAAATGGCAAAAGAAGCCACAAAACACACATTCTCTACTTTCCAACTTGAAGCCCCTAAGGGAATGGCTTGGTTATTTCTCTGATAAACATCTTACAATAAGCTGATTACATTCCTGTCCAAGTTGAAAAAATCACGTTTCTACCTTTATGCTGGGTTGGTTGGACTTGACAAAAAGGGAAGTAATTCTATGGGGAAACAAAGGATGAAAGTCTGTATACTGTGTGTCTGACTCCTTCTGAAGGTGTGCTGCATGCAGAAAGAATATTTTCTGCAATTTATTCCAGCATGATGAATAGTCTCTGCAGTTGTGTTCCAATTTTCATTGTAAAGAACTGAGGGTGGAAACCCAGCAGGGGTCAAAACATTGGCCCACGTTTTTAGTGATGCGTCTTGCAGCTCTCCCTTCAGTGTTCAAGAGCTGCATCCAAAGATGATCTTGTCACCTGGGGCTGTAAGACTGACATTTTTAGAATTCATATCACACCTGAATACATTGAAAGGATACTTTCACAGAGGTTTAACACTGCCTGTTAGGATCTCTACATTCCTGATTGCACTTCCATTGAATAATTCTCAGGTTCTGCAACATTTGCCATGTTAAGCAGTCAGTATTTTGGAGTTATAGCAAGTGGCTATGGGTTCTTGCACTAGGGTTGAATCCTGTAATCTACATTGTGCATTACTTAAGTACTGACATGGTACTATGAAACATTTTCTGAACTGCAGAATAAATAATAAAGCAAATTTGGTGATTATTCTGAGGAACAGGTATCTATACGTTAATGTAATATGCTCTGTCCCATTCACTACAATGAAAAAATCCAAATTTCTGGGTGAGTTATTTCCTTGACAGCTATTGGGATATACTAAGGTCCTCAGCTCTCTAGAAGAATTTTGGAGTTATTCTTGTTCCGGACAACAAGAAATACATATAAAAAAACTTATCTGAAAATAATTAATCTTCTCAAGGCAAAGTGAGTCCAAGAAGCCCATTCTTATTAGACCACACTTTAGGACAATTAGTGAATTGAATGCACTGATCCTAGTAACTTTTCATATGAATAAGACAACAGCAAACTATGAACAAAGGAGACCTAGTGAATGAATCTGTAAGTGTATATACTTACTAAAGCTTTGATTCACTGTGTGAAAACCCAAAGACTCAAGGGCTGGAGAAAGCTAACAAAATAACTTAAATTCTAAGCCTAGTAAAGTAAAGATCTCAAGCTGTACGCTTTCTTTTAAATTAATATAAGGAATCATAATTCATTACTTAAAGTATTGAGGAAAGAAAAAAGCTATGGACAAGTGGATTAGTTCAAAATGTGCATGAAAATGATCTAGACTCATGTTCATCCTCCAGAGAACAAAGGAAGTATTGCTACTCCCAGACATACTCTTAGGGTGTGAGTGAGCATCATAATATGACACCTAAATTTAGATGTCTTCCCATGCGCTAGATATCAAAGCTCCCATTATTGGTTATGGACATCTAGCCAATTATTTCACTGGAGACTTGTGTGTGATTCCACTGTACAGACAACAGAGCCTCTCTTTCTCAGAACGTCATCCTTTCCAAGGAGTGATGTGAGGTCCCTGTTCCTCAGTGTACATTATCTTTAGCGCTGTTTATCATATTTCCATTCTTTCAATCACATGCATGTTTATTACATGTTTTCTTTCAAAGTCTCTGAAACCATTAGTTTAAACAATAGGATCAAAAATGGATCCTAGTGGCTTGCTAGATGTCCATCTTCTTTGTTAGATGCTAGTGTGTGAGATCTAGATATGTTATTCAAGCAGAGTACATAACTGGCTCATGTTTCATTAAATTTTCATTTAGTTTAATGAAAATTAACCCCTTTTCCAGTAAGATGTACTGTTGTTGTATTCACTTATTTTATGGTTGTGTGTAAGACATCATGATGGTTTGTTGGCCAGTCTGGTACTGCAAGTGTCTTATTGCAGTCCCTCCATTCTTGCTAATATCTGATCCCTACCTGATCTTTCTCTTCCTCTTCCAGTGACGCTTCCAAGGACAGTATCACTCCACATAAGGGGCAGGGGAAGACAGGTGGGTGCTGAAAGATGCATGAAGAGGAAGATGAAGTTCTCAGGACATATTATGGGGTGGGGAGCTTGGTGAGTGTGGAGGAGGAAATGCCTATTGTTCATCAGCTCTTCTAAGGCCAACTCACTAAAGAAGGGTTGAATAACCCCAAGCTGCCAGTCCTGTTCTGGACTCCCTTTAGAATGGTCAAAGGCACTTTGCCTCTTTCTACCCTCAAAGGAATCAGGCAAAAAAAGTACACACAACCCAACCTCCCCCACCTCCCCCAACCCACCCTCCACCATCTCATATACAACCCACAAGTCTCGACAGAAATCAGTGTTCTTCTGTCTATAACAAGACTATCAGCTTTGCTTTATTGTTAGCTGTTCACAAGACCTCATGGTGCATAAGCAGTCAGGATGATAGGAGATTTTAAACAGGCGTCTTCTGAGGCCAAGGGAGTGATCTGTAGGTCAAGTGTTGTGGAAGGGATTTCTTTCAACAGTTACATCAGTGTGCTCTTTCAGGAAAGGCATGTCAGCTTTGGCAATCAAATCAGTTTTTGAAGCTAAAGACTGAGGGTAGGAAATGACTACAACAGAGCTACATAATGGAAGCTGTCTTCTTGCAGAAATGACTAGGATCATTGTTTCAATAATATCCAACTGATATAAGCAACTCACATTTGGATCCTGAGGAAGAAGCCCCACTTGAGGTGGATCGTGATGCTCCTTTCATGGAGAAAACCCCTTTGCCTCTACGAGTTGTTGTCACAGCCACACGAGGACGCTTCAGTGGAATCACTGCACGGGGTGGTGGGGGGACACGGCCATGGTAATCAAACAACCTAGAAAAGATTAAGTCAGCTGGACTCCATAAAACCTTCTGTGATTTCATGTCATGGAATCCCTGTCAATTAAATTTTCATGTTATCTCTGAGAAAATTGCCCTTTGAAACTGTAATCATTTTATATCACAGTCAAATTAGATTTCAAGGACCTATGCACATTAAGTGTCATATTCAGATTTCAGTCACAGGCCAGTGCATAGCTCAGATTTTTTGCATAATTTAAATGAGGGATACATTATGGCACTCTATTATTTGAAGTATGGAAAATCCATAACCTGCTTTCCACAGGTCCACACCATTTCATTGCACACAACTAACATCAGTACATTTTGCTGTGGTGACATTTCAGCTCCTTTATTACATGCATGGCTTAAAATCTAGTTTTCTATCTGCTATCCTTATAGATAGAAAAAGAAAATAACTTTTCTGAAACCAACCATCACCATAAAAAATATCCTGCAGTTTGTAAAATAGCAAAAGAGTCTTTATAGTAAGGGACCTGTATGTCCTTCTGAATGCATAGAAAAGAGGTTCCAGCATACATTCTCTTTATTGGAGAACGGATTCATGTAGAATCACTAAAATATCCAAGCATGCTTAATAAAAAAAAGTCTTGTTCAAACCAAAACCACTGTCGTATGTAGATATTCAGAGAATTACCACTCAATAAAAAACACTCAGCCAAAATGAAATAATTTTCCCAAACAGAATACCCCAATCCTAAAAACACAGTTGTCAACAGCAGTTAGCTAGCCTGCATAGAAGAAAATAGAGGCAGTAGAAAAGATAATCAAAGCTACAGATCTATTTAGAACATGAAAGCCATGGGCTCTGAATATGACAGGTCAGGAGAAGAAAGTTCAGAAAATTAAGATTTCCAGTTTAGAGACTGAAGTAGAGAGACAAGCAGAATTCTCACAAAATATTCTTGAGTTTCTTTCAAATGATACTTGCAACTAGCAATTATGGAAATTTATAACTGCATGTTTAATTTTCACAATTCTGACTACTGTCACCCAGCTGGGCAGATAGATACATATTTGAAAACAGACACACAAGAAATAGTAATTCACTCACCACAGTGTCTAACAGCACACTGAACAGGAAGCAGAAAGTCTTCTAGCCCATTTTCTGGCAAGTAAACACCTAATGCTTACATTCTAGGATCCTTAATGTTACCTGTACCATAATCCCACAGACAATATAACCAGCTCCCTCCTTTTCCAAAGCTACCTTAGAAAATGTGTCACAGAGATCCTGTCACCGCTACTGAACTTGAACTCCATGGCCTTGGATAAGCAGTTTCTAGCCATTGTGAGCAGAACTAAACAATTGTGTATGAAGATGAACACTAAAACATTTTTGGGACTTTTAACAGAAATATTATTGTTTGTTGTCACTCATCATATTGGATGATCTGCTGGTTAGTCACAGTTTCCCGTTGACATTACTGGAACAAAATCTTTCAGAAGAACTCTCAGCTATCATGCAAAATATCATTATGCAATTATTCCTCCAAAGGTGATTTTTTTCTAGCTTCCAATAGTTCATGTTTAGATAATGTAGTGAAATGCAAAACTATGCTTCCTTTTTTGAAATATATAAAAGAGCTGTTACCTAATATTACTATTCTTACTTTTATTTTTTAAATTATGCAAAGCTTTTGGGCTTGGTATTTTGTTGCACCAAGTTCTACATATTTCAATGACATGCTTTCTTTAAAAAAATGCTTCCTTTTATCCGTTTTGAAGTACCCTGCCTGTTTTCCTTGTGCTTGTAATATGAAAAATGATAAAAAGAAATGCTCAGTTCTAAAGCAATTCTTTGTCCCAATAATCACTAATGTACATATAACTATCTTTTCTTTCACTCACCCTTCTAAATTGTGCAGTCTTGATCTTGTCAACCTATCTTCATACAGATCTTATTTTACAGCACTAACCATTACTGTCGCCCTTTTCTGACCCCACCAATGCTTTAGTCAAGACAAGAAAGGTGTATTCTCCCTTCAGGAAAGTTGGAAAATTAATGAATATTAGAAAACAAGACCTACGGTTTGAGATAAAGCACAGAAATTCAGAAAGTTTGGGAGTTCAGAAATACAAAGAATCGTGACTATATTTCTTAATTTATATTTCCTATAAACATGTTGATAGTACATTGAACTTTCCATGGGATTTTCCTTTCCATGCCTACCATATAGAGCTTTTAATCTTCCACTTCCATTAACTTGAATCTAACAGAGACCCTTAAGCCTCCTAAGCTTTTATGTCAACAGATCAGCATGTCCAGCCTTGTGAGGCCAACATCATATTTGGGTTTTCGACCATAAAACTTCTGCTGTCTCAATCATGAAGGATTTCTAAATCAGAAAATTATAATATTGACTAGATTATGGACACATTTCACTGTCATCAGTTTTCCATAAGACAATCACCAGGATAGACATGAGGTTCCACAGAAACAACCTTTAATACCCCATAAGTATTTCTTTTGTTTGTGGAAATCTAACCATTATAAGATGTTCAATTGTGCTACCCATAATATACAGAAATAGGGAAAAACCTAAAAACACATAACTTTAATATTCAGGTGGCATAAATCAGAAACAGTACCCTGTTTAAAAACATACAAATCCATTGATGAAACTCAGCGCAGTAAAACTTGGGGAAAGTAAACACAAGCCTATGGAAGTTAACTTTTTACTCGATATGAGCTGCTCCTCCTGTCAAGGCTGGACCGCGCAGGATTAAACTGCATTGATGGCTTTTACTCCATATGTTTATAGCTCACTGTTTTTAGCTCTGTAGACAGAGTTAAAGTGATGAGTGAGCATGGTCATTTACATGCACAAACAAAACTAGTGGCTCCAGCTGCTGAGTCAACCCCAGGAAAGAAACAAAACTAAAAAACATTGTTTTAAATTTTTCCAACAGTATTGCCAAGGAGAAAGGTACATAACACACGGTAACTTAACTTTGGGGTGTAAACTGCTCCCCTGCTATTGTCCATTGCTTTACATGAAGGCCAACCGTATCCTGGGCTGCATCCAAAGCAGCGTGGCCAGCAGGCTGAGGGACGTGATTCTGCTCCTCTACTCTGCTCTGCTAAGACCCCACCTGGAGTCCTGTGTCCAACTCTGGAGCCTTCAGCACAGGAAAGACATGGACCTGTTGGAGAGGGTCCAGAGGAGGGACACCAAAATGATCAGAGGGATGGAGCACCTCTCCTGTGAGGAAAGGCTGAGAGCGTTGGGGCTGTTCAGCCTGGAGAAGAGAAGGCTCCAGGGAGACCTTATTGCAGCCTTCCAGTGCTTAAAGGGGGCTGATAAGGAAGATGGAGACAGACTTTTTAGCAGGGCCTATTGTGATAGGACAAGGGGTAATGGTTTTAAACTAAAAGAGGGTAGATTCACACTAGATATAAGGAAGACATTTTTTGCAATGAGGGTGGTGAAACACTGGCCCAGGTTGCCCAGAGAGGTGGCAGCTGCCCCACCCCTGGCAACATTCAAGGTCAGGTTGGACGGGGCTCTGAGCAACCTGATGTAGTTGAAGATGTCCCTGCTTATTGCAGGGGGGTTGGACTAGATGACCTTTAAAGGTGCCTTCCAGCCCAAACTATTCTGTGATTCTATGATTCTATAAAAGAAATCTTAGATTAGAAGAGGTTGGTGGAGCAAGGTTTTGTTCCCTTCTGATCCACTTGGCCTATGCTAAACCAGGCTGCTGTAATGCAGGGACACAACACTGCTGCATCATGGATGGGTTGTCTGTGGTCATCCATTTTAACCCAGTGTTGTGGTGATTCTGCTATATCTGAATATATACATTCACACAGTGCTGAGCTAGGCTGTGCATATGTACTCAAGGCACAAGTAGCCAATTGCTCAGGTATCCACACTTCTGTTGTGTGGTCTTGCTTCCCTCGAGGTCCTTCTAGACTTCTAAATGTTCTTGGAAAACATATTTTTCAGGAGAAATTCTAAATCTCTTCATACACATGGATGAAAAGACAAAGGCACGAGTGTCATACTGGAGAATTTTACAGCTGCTATATGTACCAGTTACAGTAAGCCTGGAAGAACTCTGTAGGAAGAAACACTGAGCAAATAAACTGTTCAGCACAGAAAATGCCCCAAAAGCTCTTGGAGAAGGAGAAGTCCAAAATAGCATTGTTTAGCATGTTTAATGAGCATACGTTTGGCGGTGGTAATCTTCTCTGTTTGTGATATATTCAAATAGTCTTCTTCTGATACACAAAAGAAAAAATGAAATTAATAATATGTAAAATCAAAATAGACCTGTCTAACCAAATTATGTGGTTACATTATAAACAAACTGTAGAAATGGTGTAAGATATACAAAAATATAAGCACACATACCGATTGTAGAAATCATCTCTGTAGTAATCATAATCAAAGACGTAACCACTGTGGAAAAACATAGAAAAACAAGAATGAACTGATTTGTAGAAAAATACACATTGATTAAAACATTTGTGGTAATATTGGCTTACTCTCATAATCCAAGCCCTTTTTCAAAGTCCTTCCACTTCTTTTCCTCAATCATACACTGTACATAGTATTTGTCAATGCCCTTGTCAGCTGTCACTGTGGTATATTTGGAAATGTGAAGTCTGAGGCAAGGAGAACAGTGTAAACAGTTGACAGTATATACAGAAAGAATTTAACACAGCATGACAGTTCTGTGTAACTAGAGGATCATTATAGTGTAATTCTCTGAGTGATCAAATGAAATGAGCGCTCTATTACTGAAGCCCTCTTCTTTGCTGGGCTAACAGCATAATCAGTGGACTAGGAGGACTGTTAAATACATGAAAGATTGGTAAATAAGCGAGTAGGTGAGACAGATAAGACAATGAATTTGATTTATGAGAAACATGAAAAGAATTGGACTGTTGGTCCTTGAGTTTGCCAAATCTTCTTTCATCTTAAGAGAAAGCAAAAAAGGTTGGAAGATGAATGATGGAAACAATAATGTTACAGAGACGCCCTTCCTCTCAAGTTCAGAAGGGAATATACATACCAATCTAGGAAAAGAAAGACACCATCAAGGGAAACAAATATAGGTAGGGAATTGCAAAGGTCCAGGGTAAAACTATTTTTGAGCCATCAATTGCAAAGTCAATCCTAGATTGATCTTCCTAGTTTTGCATTGCATTAGGAACTTTCTACCTTTATGGTGAAGAAATAGCAATGAAGTCTATTTATCTCACATATCCAATAAAAATAGAACCAGAGCTTATAAATGATCTGCACGGAAAAGCCACAAGGGATTTGTACTCTGCCTGATGAAAGACTAGTAGAAACCTAGTTTTCTACACAAACCCTAAGTTTTTCACTTGCCTGAGAAGGAAAATTATGAATAGTAAAGGATGAGAGGTATGAAGAAAGTATCACAAAAAAGGAGAAGATTTAAATAAGAAAGCAGGAAGGTAAAAAGGAGAGAGTCAGAAAGGACCAAGCACGGAAGAAAACATAGAAAATAAAGGGAGATGAATGATGGTAGCTACATATTAATGAAGTTTGTCTTCACAGGGAATGGACTTTGGATAATTTCTGCTCTTGAACATTGAACAAAATGTCTTAATTTTTTTTTAGTACATAATTTGAAGAATGGGTCAAGAATTCTGGAGTTTTTGTGTTTGTTTTCTCTCATCACATAATGCCCCTTTCCCCTTTTCTTCCCTTTGCCAAGTCTCAGAGACTGACCGCTTAAAAGGGGGGAAAAATAAAGTTGGCAGACTTAAATTACCTCAGTCATCATTTAATCCCAGTGTTTTGATTTTAAGGGTTTGCAATTTCCCTTGTCTGCAACTGGCAAAAACATCAATGAAAGAAGCAGGAGGCTGGGGAAAAATTTCCACCCCTGCCACATCTGTCTTGGATGCAAGTGCCCAAACCTCTAGCGATAGTACCGTCTACCCACATAATAGTGGACCAGCAGTGAAAGTCATGAGACTCATCAGATGAGAAGGGCAACCATAGTTCTGTTGGTAACTTATTTGAGAAAAGAAAGCCCTATATGCATTTTATATGAAACACTCATTAAATACAACAGCCCTGGAAGACTAGAACCCAGCAGCATGTAGGCTGTGTGTGGCAGAAGCAGCAAAATAACATTAAGTAATAATGAGTTAGACCTTGTACAGGGATCATGTTTCTGTATCTTAACACAAAAGTAGCAAAAATTTTCCTAAACTATGCGACAGCTTCTATTTTGTCGTTCATTCCATAGCCAGTCTACATGGAACTAAGAGGTAGTAGGTAGCAAAGCTATTATATTACTTACAGCTATTCACATTTTGCTAGTGGTTTTATTTAGACAAATGATTAATAGCTGCAATAAGCCCATACTTAATATTCAATTTGCGTTTTTAAGTAGAAGATAATAGAAAATTTGAAGAGAAAGGATTGAATTTAAAAGGCCTATCACATGAAACCTTTCACCTGCAGTGACATTAATTTAGTTTGCATAAAGACCAGATAAATTCAGTTTTTCAAGGTTGAAGAACATGAGCTGATGAAGACTAATTCACTTTGCATGGTGTGAAGGGCTGAAGGGCAGCTATATTTTTCTGTGGCATATCAACTCTGGCCCACAGGACACCATAAGGACTGCTGGTCCTTCACTTGGCTTTCAGAGAGTTGAACTTACTTTTCCTGTGCAATTACCATGACAGAGACTGCTCAAAGGCATCGCTGGGAATGGTGGCACTGATGGGGCACAGGAGGGAGAGAGGTCTCAGGCAGAGATCTGAGTGTGCTAATGAAAAATGTCAGTAAGCCTGAGAGAGGGTTGAGTGGTTGCGAAAGGCTCATGGGTTCCTTAGATGAGGGTAGTCACAGGCAGTGGAGGTTTTGGGTAGGGAAAATGCAGGAAAGGGTTTCTGATGTGGCAACAGATTGTTTCTCTCCTTCTCTACCTTCTGCTCTCACTCTGTCACTGTATCACTGAGGAGATCCTGTCACACAGCATTCTTCATACAGAACATTTTCATATTGTTGAAAAATGTGGCTTATAATTTTTTTTTAATTTAAATTTAGTGTAACATCTTGGATAACACTTCTCTTTTGAGAAAAGCAGTTTTGCACATCAGTCAGCCCCTAAGAATTTCATTTTTTTGCTCTGTTCAGGTAGCTTCTGTCTTGAAACTGAACTCAGTTCTTTATGTTCCTTCACCTTTGCAAATGACGGTTTCAACCCACATGGTCTAATGCTTACCTGTGGGACCAGAGCAGGAAAAAGTAGAAGCACATTTTGAAGTCTGGTTATCACATGGCAGTGTAATCTATGAATACATGTAAATTTTTATGGGTTGCTTATGTTATCTTTTAAAAATATTTCATTGCTTCAGAAGCGTCTGATACTGTTACCATGTCTTTAATTTTCACCTGAACCAGTGGTTTTCATATAGTGTTTTACCACTGAAGCTATATAAACAGCTCTACTACAGATGCTGCCTCTGATCTTAAGGTGCTTTGCATTTTTGCGTGGTTTAGTTCAGTAGCACCCATTGATACCGAGATAAGAGGTAACTACAGGTATTATGTATGTTGTATGACATTCAGTCTCTGAAACGGGCATACGCATGGTTTTAGCTGTAGCAAACACTACTTTGTCCTTCTCGTCCATCTGTCTGCCGAAAGATTACTGACCCTGTGTCTGGGATATGAGATGCAAACATATTGTGGCATCTAATAGTGCAACATGCTAGCACAACTGACAAACTAAAAGGAGTTGATTTGCTTGCCTTTCTAGTCTGAGTTTATTGTAAATAAAATCATCTCAATTCAAGGGCATCCCTGTTAATTAAGTCCCATGTCCCATGATACGGGTGCTGAGGACTCTAGCAGGAGGTGGGGAGGGAATCTGTGCTTTTCCCAAAGGCCATTTGGGATCACCCTGCACTGGCAAAAGGCATTTCTGTGTGGAAGTATCATTCATATGGAGTGTGAAAGAGTCAGTTCTGCACATACAGGGGTTCCTTACCTGGGACCACTGGCAAAGATGTGGCAGCAGCTACCTGACCCTCAAGGTAGGAATAGCACCCAGAGGTACTAGGTGGACTGCTATGACCACTCAACAGAGCAAGGGGCTCAAT